CCTTGGTGCTACAAGATATTCCTGATGACCATGCTTACTGATTCCAGCAACAGATTTAGAGCAGAGAGGAGGCAGTTCTGTGTTTTCTGTGTTTTCTATAGTCCCCACTCCTGCTCCTGTACCTGATACAAAAAAAATCTGTTTTGCATGAACCGTGCTAACGACTAGAACTTAAAGTAGAAACAATGATGATTGATTATATTTCATGTAACAAAATTCTAGATTTAAGGATGAAATCTGGCAAATTACACATTTTTGCCATGTCTTCTGAGATTTTTGGCATAATGGAGTAATGGATAGCGGCTTGGATTGAGGAATTGAAAAGTCAAGTTCGAATTCCAGTCGAATCCATTACATTCACTTACGTGCTAATATCCGTGGGAAAGGTATGAATCCTCTTCTCCCTCCAGCTATGGGTAAATAGCAAGACAGACTGGGTTCTACAGCCATGGATGGCAACTGGTCTAGGAGAAGGAAAACTCTGAATTCAAAACCTGCGGAGGGTCGTTTGGGGACCTTGTGGTACGTAGTGCACCAGGTCACTAATCAGCCCTTCAAAAAGTGTGGATGGTCCTGCACGAAACCTTCACCACTATAATCAAATCTCATGTGCTATACATGCGGGTTGGGGACCGCTTGTGAATTCCAAATTCCCATGAAACTCCAATATTGGAGCCGGCTCAACCCACCTCGGGTGAATGCCGTTACAAGAACAAGAGAGAAGAGCTAATACCCTTGGGAAAGGCACAAATCCTATTCTTCTCCCTCCAGCTATGATTAAATAGCAGGACAGACTGGGTTCTATAGCCTTGGATGGCAACTGGTCTACCACAGAAAGAAATGGCAACCTACTGCAGGAAAAAAAAAATCTGCCTCATCAGTCATGTATAGAAAGATACATGATCCCCTAAGCATGTATCACACATGGCACATAACTGACTGAATTTGATGAATTTTTGTTAAAAAATAAGAAGCGTTTCATTCAGTTTATTTTTTAAAAGTGTCAATGCCAACATGAAATTTTTAAAATCAGATCTAAGTATAATATTACTATGACTTTCTGGAACCTTCTAGAAATTGTTATTGTTTATTTGTAAACTTGTATGTTATGCTATAGCTATAAACTGTTAAATGCATTAAAATTACATAAGTACTATTCAATTACATCATTAGCAAATTGAAAAATAAAGCTTCTGAAATATTTTTATTTTTAACCCTTATTGTGGATATGGTAAAATTGAATTTTTGATTTGGGGGTAACTTTTGTTTAAGAACTAAAACAAATTAATGCCTTTTTGATTACTTTTGAACAAAAGTTCATTGTTTTATCACATGGAGACATAGGGTCACAAAAAAGTCATAACCTTAATGTACAGCAATAATAATTGGAAAAAATTTATTAATGCCATAATTTTTGTTGTGGTGTAAATAGTACACCCCTAGTGACTATATGAACTAGTCCATAACTATAAATAAAGAGCTCCAGGTCAGAGTTAAAATGATGCCATTTGGAGTCAATCTTCAGACTAATTAATACAGGTGTTATAGCAAGTAGCAAAAACATTACTTATAAGCCGTACAAACCACATTATAACAGTGGTAATGAGGGATTTGAAACTCACATGATTTATAACTATTGCAATGAGGATTTGGAACTTTTACGACTTATAACAATAACAAGAGTTCAGGAACTCATATGAGCTGTAATTAGAGTTACAAGGATTTTAGAAATTCATTCTGAGTGAACAAGTACGGAAAAAATATACTTGTTGCTTTGGAAACAAGTATATGGATGACAAGAATTTTAACCACATGGATTTAAAAACAAAAAAAGGTCTTTTTCCTCTTGGATGTAAAATAGAAAAACATTCTTGTGAATATAGAGCAAATTTTGGCTTCAATAGTTGAAATTCAACCACAACAACAGAAACAGCAACAAAATCAAGAGTTGCTAGAACTACAAAAACAGCAACAGGATTTGTTTGATATAATTCTGAAAAAACAAAAAATTCTTCAACATCTCTTATACCAGACACTGTTCAAAACACTATATCAGAAATTTATACAATACAGATAAGGGACTGGCATTTTCTGCTTATTTTCATAGATATGAACAAATATCAATTCAGGAATGCAACAGATGGGAAGAAAAGATTGTTGTTGAGGAAAATAGCTCCGATAGAGCATGAAAAATACTGTAACTACATATTACTGGTGAAATTAGGTTTAAAGACACGGTACACATTCTGATGACAATCTTTAGTGACAAGAAATCTGTTTAATGGTTGTTGGAGGGGCATGGATCTAACCAAAAAAAAAAAAAAGGACAAAGATTTTGTCACATATGCTTGTATCATCAACAAAGAAAAAAGTTTAGATAAAAGAAATGACCCCAGATATGTTCAAAGGATTAATTTTTGTTCAAGGTTTAAAAGCTAAAAAAGATGCTGAAATATAAGTGAAAATTTTAACAAAAATTGAAAAAAAACAGTAATATTATACTGTAAGAAATAGTGGAAGATTGCCAGACAATTCTAAGTCTGAAAAATGATGCTGAAGAAATTCAGAATATAGAATGTGCATTGGTACAAAAGGAAAATGTACAAAAAAGAGAATAATTCCTTCTTTCAGAGATGGTAAAAGACTGTCTATTTAAAAATGCAGAATGTTACAAGTGTGGAAAAAGAGGACATATAAAGACACACTGCAAAACCAAACCAAGAAAAATTTCTCAAAGGAAGAAATTTGTACACAATATTGGTCATAGAAAACAAAAGGAAATCTGTGAATGCAATAATAAACAATGTGGGTGTGAAAATGCTACTGTACACTGGTAGTGATATTTTAATATTTAGTGAAACCACATAGAAGGAAATTGAAAGCCTTTATTAAAAAGGACTTCCAAAGTCACAATTTCAGTTTCTGATGATAACTGTCAAAAGGTGTTTGACAAAATAAGAAAAAAACTTCCATCAGATTTACCATTAGCACACTATGATCCAAAAGCAGAAATTGTAGTGGCATCAGATGATAGTGAGTATGGTATTGGAGTGATGATTTTACACAAATACGATGGAGGTAAAATGAAAGCTTTTGTTCATGCTTCGCATTCACTTCTACCAGCAGAGAAAAATTACAGCCAGATCGAAAAAGAGGCTTTAGCAAATATATTTGCAGTGAATAAATTTCAGAAATTTATTCATGGAAATTTTAGGTTGCAAACAGACCAGAGACATCTATTAACAATATATATTTCAAAGAAAGGAATACCTACTCATACAGCTAATAGACTACAATGCTGGAGTACCATTTTATTAAACTATGATTTTATGAAGTACCAACAGTCTAAAAAATTAGGATATGCAGATGGATTATCAAAATTAATACCTAAAAATGTGGAACCATTTGAGGACAAGGTTATTGCAGTACTAAAATGTGAAATGAAAATAAAAAATACTTTGTGCAACATAGTATGAGAGTTACCAGTGACTCTGAAAGAAATAAAATAAAAAGCTTAAGATGACGCCTTTATTGTGAAAATAAAAAAGCAATTGAAAGAAACAAAGAATGAAATGCAAACTTAAATGCTTATTCACTATGCAATGGTGTCGTAATGTTCGGGCAAAGGGTTGTAATACCTAGTGTGTTACAGAAGCGAATATTGAAGGATTTTCATAGCAGACATCCTGGTATTTCAAGAATTAAATTTCTAAGAAGTTTTGTATATTGGACCAGAATGGACCAAGATATTGAAAAAAAAATATAGTGACAGCTTGCAGAGGTTGTGCTCTGGCAGCAAAACTATCTATCACAAAGATAGAACCTTGATCAAAGACACTCCATGGTCAAGACAGCATATAGCTTTTGCAGGTCTTATAAGAATGGATCTATTATCTTGTGGTAGTTGATAGCTTCACTAAATAGCTGGAAATTTATAAGTGGAAAAATCCAATATCTTCAGTGACAGTGAATTTCTTGCATGAACTGTTTGTGCCACATGAGACAGTCTCTGATAATGGATCATAATTCATGGGTAAAGAATTCAAAGATTTTTGTAAGGTGTTCGCCATATCATGTCAAATGGACAAGCAGAACGGTTTGTGGGAATGTTTAAAAGAGCATTGAAGAGAGCAAGTCTTGTGAAAGTAAATGAGGAAGCACTTCAAAATTTTCTGAGAGTTTACTGTTTAACCCCTAACCACCATCTGACATGTCGCTGGCAGAATTAATGTTTGCCAGAAAAGTAAAATCAGTGTTCAACAAATTATTACCAAGTTGAAAAACGCAAACAGATAACAAAAACACCACCAAAAGTTTCGAGGTCAGAGATAAGGTGTTCTTTCGAGTATATAAGGACAGCAAAGAAATGTGGGAAGATGGCATAATAAGAGCAAGAATCAGGAAGTTGATTTACATAGTAAAAAGAAAAAGATTTGAACATAAAAGGCACCATAATCAGCTAAAAAAAAATTAAAAAAAAGGTTCCTCGATGAAAGACCTGAAACACTGGAAGAACTGATAAAAAAATGCTATATGATGTTTTTCAATGTGCCTGCACCATAACAAGTCATGGACTCTACAAGGACAAGTTTCAGAAAAAGAAAGTGTACTGAAGAACTGGAAGTGGATCCGTATCAAGTACGTTGGCAAATTCTCAAAAAAGAAGAGGGGGAGATACTAATACTAATAAAAAATAAAATATCTATAAAAAGTATTAATCTCAAGGGGGTGGATGTTGTCAAGTAAATAGTACACTCCCAGTGACTATATGAACTAGTTCATAACTATAAATAAAGAGCTCCAGTTCAGAGGTGAAAAGAAGACAGTCTTCAGACTAATTAATACAGGCGTCATGGCAAGTAGCCGAAGCATTACTCATGTTATAAGCGCTATGAAGCGTGTTATAACAATTTTTGACAACATAGGTAAACTAGCATGAAAAAAAAACCACCAAAACAAAAAAAGAAGGTATTATCTGAGAATGTGTTTTACAGTCTTACCTGTTAAACCTGCAGCTTCTGCAGCTTGGAATGTACAATAGGACATCAAGAAGAATAAAGCCGTCTCCAGTAATGGATATTCTCTGATCTTGGTATATTTTGTCATGTGAGTTTCATTAAGGAAAAGAACAAATATTAATAAATAGAAACATCGTAACAATATTATGTAATGTTTAATATATTTGTACACGAACAAACATGTTTGCTCTCCTTATCAAAACTTGTCAAAGTTTCAAATCTGCTGCTTTTATTAATGGTATACTTGTTTTATTGTTTTACAGTAATATTTATTATTTATATATGACATGTTTAAATGTGTTCCAAGAATATAGTTATAATAATGTATACAGGAGTCATTGGTGCCAAAAGTGAAATCAGCAAATTCCAGCCTCAATAAAATAGTTGTTCAGGGTACTGATTTCATTGTTTTTGTTCAAGACACCTATAATAGTGAGCTGAATTCAAATTCCAGCCTCATCTGATACCTTCTATAATATTGAGGAGAGCCAGCCTCATTAAAATAGTCGTTCAAAGTACTGATCTCATTCTTTTTGTTCAAGATACTTCTTTGTAATTCAGAAATGTTTCATTATCATTCCAAGAATTGTTCAGACTAATTAACTAATTATTTTTGTTGCTACCATAACATTTTGAACAAATCATTCTCCAGGCCTCATCTTGAATACAGTCCATAGGGGAATAAATTGAGCTGATTAACTCATTTAGTACTGTTCTTTTGTTGTTGTTCTTTTCTACTTTTGCTACTATTTGTCCGTTTGATCTACTTGAGAGGTGGGAAGTCTTTTGCTTTTCTTAGAGACTTTATACTTGTTATACCGTACCTATGGACTATAATGGGTATGTCCCAATCCTTATAAATACAGTGGAATATACCATATGTTGGATTCACTGGATATTAACTTCTAGATCACAACTAGCAGTTGATTACTTGCTACACAACGCTGGTGAATCTTGTATGTTGTTCCTGTTATAAATATAATCGTTCAATTTCCAACTTTCCTTTCGGTTATTCTTATTCAGTAAGCTTTTCCTAGGTTACAACAATACTTGAATAAGACTCTAAAAGGAGTAAGTTAAAATGTTCTGGGGACAACAAAAACAATGTGTTTTATTGTCCAAACAATTTATAGACTTATCTGGATCTATAGAAAGTTTTTGCGTAATTTCATCTACCAATATACACAAAATGATTAACATTTTTTCTCTCCTAAAATAATGGTAATAATTCACATGTGACAGATCCACAAATTATTCTTTAACAAATGAAAACAGTGTCAGTAGATGAAAAAAAATTGGAAGATATAAATCTAAAAGGATATAAGTGCTGTGATGCAACCAATGGCAGCTCCAATAAGGAAGGCTCCCAGAAAAATTCCGATAAAGTTACCCATGGAATTAAAGAATGCATTCGCCTGGTAACCTCCCTTCTCTGCTATGCTTGCATATTCTTCAACAGCTCTGATGAAGAAGAAAAAGAAAAAAATGGTTAGAATCAAATGATAAATATTTGATTGATTAACATATTGCATCAATGGAACTCATAAAATTAATACTTATTTATTAATCTGTCTCCCTCTCTCTTATCAGTGCTAAAAAGGATAATGGAAAATTAGCAAAATCCCAGATACACAATTATTTAAAATACAACTTACCAGAGACTTTATCATCTATAGTTACCATTATTTATCACTTATATTCAGTATTTATCATCATTATCTATATTTATTATTTATCATCTGTATTTATCTATATTTATTATTTATCATTATTTATCATCTGTATTTATCATTATTTATCTATATTATTTATCAAGCTGTATTTATCATTATTTATCTATATTTATTATTTATCAAGTTGTATTTATCATTATTTATCTATATTTATTATTTATCAAGCTGTATTTATCATTATTTATCTATTTTTATTATTTATCAAGCTGTATTTATCATTATTTATCTATATTTATTATTTATCAAGCTGTATTTATCATTATTTATCTATATTTATTATTTATCAAGCTGTATTTATCATTATTTATCTATATTTATTATTTATCAAGCTGTATTTATCATTATTTATTTTTTTATATTTTCAATGTATTTATCATTATTTATCTATTTTATTATTTATCAAGTTGTATTATTTTTATCTATTTTTATTATTTATCAAACTGTATTTATCATTATTTATCTATATTTATTATTTATCAAACTGTATTTATCATTATTTATCTATATTTATTATTTATCATCTATATTCATCATTATTTATCATTTGTAATTATCATTTACTTTATTTAGAAGACATGCTCCAAAAGTAATGCCTACAATTTATTTCTATGAAAACTACAATAGATACAGAGGGTACAATGTTGGATAAAACTAGTTTCTAGTTACAAAGGTCAACTGCTAAGAAAGTAAGTTCACTGTGTCATATGAGACAATTTTTCTCTCCATAATATATGTTATATATTTAGAAGTCTACCATTCATCCATCCTTAGAATATTACTGTCACATATGGTCTGGTGCACCAAGAGCTCCTGGATAAGACCAAAAGAAGAATCAGCAATATTATTGGTCCTGATCTGGTGGCTTGGGTTCAGTCACTTTCCCACCACCGTAAGGTTGTCTCTCTTTGCTTTTTCTATAAATACTTTCATGTTAATTGTTCAGATGAGATCTTCAATATGGTACCTAGACTTCATGAATTTAAGCACAGTACTAGACTGCCATTGAGATCTCATCAACTGACAGTTGAGCTGGCTAAATATAGCTGTAAGTTCTATGCCAACTTCTTTTCTTCCACTTCTCAACTGTGGAACTCCCTTCCAGTTCCATGCTTTCCAGCCAACTTTAATCTGCAAAAATTTAAATGCAATGTCAATTGCTATCTATTATCCATCTGATTACTCTTTCTGCTTTCCACTCATTATTAATGTTTCTGTCCTTAATTCGTCTATGCTCTGTAACCCTTCTGTTTTAGTGGCTTTACTGTCTTGCATGTAGTGATACTAATACAAAAAAAAACAAAAAAAAAAAAAAACGCTATTTTTCCACATAGACACCATCATTGGCTTTGCATTCTCACCAGCAATAAGCAATAGTTCTTTATTTTGTGGGTTACCAGCTATATAAGTCATGCTGTCACCATTGCTTTAAGCATATTACCTACTATGTTCATGTCCACTGTTTGGTTACTGTAAACATTCAGTAAGTGCCAATAAGGTAATTTTTTTCTTAAAACATTTAACAATAATTTTCCAAACCATGTTGATGAAGAAATAAGATTAGCTGCAAATTTTGCTGACCATTTCACTAGATTAAGACGGTGTTATTGTATGAGGTACATTCCAGAGGTCTTGAGATTTATTTTAGCACTAATAAACATTACCTACAAATGACTAATTTTCTGATTGTAGTTGGGACTTGAAGACAATTTGGAAGCGTGCTATGCAATAAAGTTTTGTGTTAAACTGGGCAAAAATGTTACAGAAACTTATAAAAGGTTTCATAGTGCTTATGGATCAACTTGCATGAGCTGAGCATCTGTTTTCCATTGGTACAAGAAGTTCAAGGACAATAGAGAGTAGGTGAGAAACAATTAGAGATGTAATAGGGAGATGGATGTCAGAACATCAGAGATGCTTGAGAAAACTCACAATTTTCTGGATGAAGACTGTATAAGCATACAGTTTGAAGTTGGTGAGACAACTGTAGACAATTATTCATGAAGATCTGAACATGTGTAAAATTTGAATAAAGTTTGTTCCCAGAGTGTTCAGTGATGAACAGAAGGAAAGACATGTTGGTGAACCACTCTACAATCCAGACCTTGTTCCCTGAGACTCATGGTTGTTCCCAAAGATGAAGAAGAACCTCTAGGGCAGTTATTTTGAAAAGATGAAGAAGGCTGTAACAAAGGTCCTGGACAACATCACTTTAGATGACTTCCATGGAGCCTTCATGAAGTGGTTGGAGCTCTACAAGAGGATCATGCTTAAAGTTTTGTACATCTTTGGAATTAATAAATCTTTCCTGAAAAAGTTTCAAAACTTCTGAAATACATCTTGTATCACAGAACATTCTCAATGATCTTTCTTCTAAGTTTTTTTACCTCTGGATTTTAAAAAATTTTCTTTTGAAATTTCTTATATACACTTACACTGATTTAGCCCAGGAATGACAAGGACCAACCTGTCTGGTTTTTCTTAACACAATGTATTCAAGTTCCTTGAATATCTTTTCAAACTATTTCTAATAACTTTCTGTAAACCTCAGGGGAAAGTCATTTTGAAGATATTGAGAAGTTGAAGGAGGTTTTGACAAGGCACCTGGACACCTTCACTTTGAATAACTTCCATGGGGCCTTCACAAAGTAGAATAGAGCACTACAAGATGTTCATTGAAGTTTGAGAATCCTACTTTGAAGGAGATTAAAGTTTTCTACTTCTTTGAAATTAATAAATGTGTCCTAAAAAAAGTCTCAAACCTTCTGTAATATACCACATAGGTTATACAAATTTGATCTGCCAATTTTGATGCACTCTTATCATAATAATGGCCATCATAATACAATACATATTTACTTAATGGACATACTGAAGTATTTTTATCCACTGAAGGTTATTTTGTACTTACCCAGATAAAACAATGGCCACAGCATCATTTAGAACACTCTCACCAAACACGAGAGCATATAAATCTACATCGACATTGAGATCATGGAAAATGGCCAACACTGTCACTGGAATGAAAAGCAAATTGCAATAAATCAATAAAAAGATCAAAAGAGATGACAAATGAAGAAAAAAATTTTAATTTATATTCAATGTTTTAAAATTATACTTCCTGACTTCCTTTTCTTTTTAATCAAATCACTAACAAAAAGTTTTACTTATATAGGAGATAACAATATACTACATCTGGCAGAAAAGCCTCCGATTGGGAAGTTTTGAGGAGCATGGAACCACTACTTAATTTCTGTTGTTCCTAGGTCCACCCTGACCTGAAGTGGTAGCACCTGTTAAGGTCCCAGCTATGGGCAAATAGTTAACCCCCAACTGGTCAAAACACTATAAAAGTGTGGTGGACTCTCCCGTCCTATTGGACATATGAGGGTCAAGCAGCTCAGTTCCTAGGAACCAACAGCCCAGACACCAGCACATATGATTTGATTATAGTGGTGAAGGATTTGTGCAGAACTAACCACACTTTTTTTTTGAAGGGCTCAATACAGAGATCTGGTGCACTATGTGCCACGTCTCCAAACAGCCCTCCTCAGGTTTTGAATTCCAAGTTTTCTAGATCAATTGCTATCCAAGGCTATAGAACCCAGTCTGTCCTGTTATTTACCCATAGCTGGAGGGAGAAGAAGAGGATTAATACCTTTCTCAAGGGTATTAGCACATAAGTGAATGTAATGGATTCGACTGAAATTCAAACTCAGCTCTCCAATTCCTCAATCCGAGCTGCCATCCACTATGCCTCCTCAAAGTGTAGAAAATACATCTTTATAGTAAAGGGGCCAGAAATACATTTTCATAGTAAAAACAATTACCAGCAAATACATTTTCTAAGGAAAAAAAATATTACCAGCAATACATTTTTTGTAAAAGAAAAATTGTCAGTAATACATTTTTGTAGAAGAAATTACTAATGATCCCAAAAGAATTAAATTGATATGCCATTAAACAAACAATCATATAGGAGATTTGCTAACCAGTGATCTGAAACAGGAACCTTCCTATCAGTGTCAATTTGCATATGAACTTTAGAGCCAAGAACAGGCAAATATTGGTTAGGTTAATCATTAAATCTGCAAGCATCTACATGGCTCTTTTGGAGTAGATGTAGTCATTATTGTTAATGTAGTTATTGCCCATGTCTTTTAGTTCTTGTTTAGTGTCACCAGGTGGTGGCTTCTATAAAATGCTGGCTGCCATATGGGCAATAACTACAGCATAACTGTAGGATGCTTGCAGATTTAATGATTAACCTAACCATTATTTGCCTGTTCTTGGCTCTAAAGTTCATATGCAAATTGCCATATTGAAAATATTTCATTTGTTGTCAATAGTGCAAGCATTGTTCAGTGAGAAACATACAGCACAAAACTTTGCAAAACACTTGACATGTTTCCTAATTCATAGGTTTTTCTCCATGAATAAAAAAAAAATTATGCCTGAATAAAAGTTTTACTTTTCTGTTCAAAACGAAGTACACAAATCATAAGTCCAAACTCAAAGATATAGGAGGCAGAAAGAAATGTTAAAATCTTGATTCACAAGTCCTATGTCACAAATCCCAATACATGTAAACAGTCAGAAATCCAACACACCAGCCGGCGTATGAGGTAGCAAAATAAATTTGTTTTTTTTCTTCCCAATTCGAGAACACTAACTGCTTTTTTCGATGGGATAATTTTTTCATTGGTCAACAGGTGGGAAATGACACACAATATTAGGATATCTGAGATACATTTATGGCAACACCTGTAACTGATTTTTTTTTTTATATTTTGGATATTCCATCTTTGGCATATCATGCAGAACATATGCCCTCTTTCTTGGCAAGTAACTTTCTTTTTCATCACATTTTCTGACGTAGAATATATGACACGCTGTTGCTTGGTTTGACCAGGTAATTTGCCATAAACAAAAAAAAAAAAAGTTAGATTCTCAAAATGTTGCTAATATTTCCAATCTACAAATGTTAGAATCAATAAACAATAATATATTCATTGTGAGGAGTCCCATCTACTCCAGTTTTGAAATCAGAATGATCTGTCTCCTAGAAAGACAGCCAAACAAGATTAATCCACTGTCTTCCTGTATTCCAAAGGATAGTGAACAATACAAGGTATAGACATTCAACTCCTTGAGGTATCTGTTATACTCACATACTCTTAGTCAACTGTATGACAATCCTACAAGTATCTAATGACTTTATCCTTGTGATGACGATGGATGAGCTGTGGGGTTGGTAATCAGTTTCTAATTAATGGTTGAAAGAGGATTTGGGACCCATCAACATAACAAGTCTTCCCCAATGAGAATCATGGACATAAAAGGATGTGCAGGTGGTGTAATAGATAGTAGCTCAGAAAGAGGAATTGGAAAGCAAATGCCAGTTGCATTCATTATATTCACTAATGAATAAGTGTGAATACTCTTGAAACAGGTATGAATCTATCGCAGCTATCAGGGAAGACAGGGATCTCTAGCCTTGGTTGGCAACCCATCTAGGAAGATAACTGAATTCACTTGTTCATGATCCCCACCGGCAATCAGGATGGAAAGAAGGAAAAACAATATTTACTGTGACTTTGACCATTTAAAAAAAAAAAAAACAGCAAGCTGATCTGACAGCTTTCACAATATAATCAACTATGATCTTAAAACTATTATTACTTAAAACTAAACACTACTAATGCCATATAACAACACCAACTTTTTGGCCAACTAAACATATCTACAATAGATGGTGAATATGTCAATGCTGATAATACAGAGAGCAGCTGGTGTTTTCTGGTATATGCAAAGAATGTGTTCAAAAATATTCATTGGAAAATAGCATGGTGATGCTATGCAACAATACACAATTGATGAAGATCAATATAATAGAAATTTTCCCATAGTTCAATGTATATAACGAAAATTAGTAAAGATAAATTTCATTTTTTTTTTTCCAACTGTGTTTTTTTAAATATGAATATTTTTCTTTAATCAATTCACCCCAAGCAAGGCAAGAATGCCACTAAGATGCAAGGGGCTACTGAGAGCGAAAGCAAATGAGAAGACATTAGAAGGAACCAAAAACCCAATCCTAAACAGGAAACAAAATATAAACCTCTACTTCTGTTCAAAAAATGGGGAAGGAGTGTGAACTGGATGAAAGTATAAGTGTCTGTCTTCTTTCCATTTTCTCCAAAACATTGTTATTATTTCGTCCATGGTATTCTCAGCAACCTTCTGTAGAACTACATTTCTGTTGCTTGAAGTCTCTTCTTCATTTGTGAGGAGACTGTCTAGTATTCACTGCTATATAGGAGCATTGATATTATGTAACAGTTCAGTACTCTTTATTTTGTTGCTAATAAAATTTTCTTGTTTCTTAATACATTGCTTAGCTTTTGGAAGGCATGTAGATATTGTCCAGCATTCATTGCCATATAAGAGGGTTGATATTACATCGAAGTTCAGAACTTTTTCTGTTTCTGATGAAATCTTCCTCTTACTTAATACTTTATCTCTTGGAAGACATGAGGAGATTGTCCAGCAGTTATATAACAGTTTAATACTCTTTTCTTTGCTTCTCATTAAATTTTCCTATTCCTCAATATTTTGCTTAGCTTTTGGAAGGCATCTTTTGCTATCTCAATGTGCCTTTGGATCTCAGTGTTGCACTTTTTGTCCTCTGTTAAAACACTTCCCAAATATTTAAATTGTTGTATTTATTTGATTTTGCTATTTCCCAATTTTCAATTTTTTTTTTTTTTTTTTGATTAATTTGTTTTCCACCTTATCAGCATATTACAGGTTATTTTAAAGTCAGAAAATAATTTTTTGTGCTGTAAGAATTTTTTTTGGAGATAATAATGATTTACTGATACAAGTCTTACTAATTAACCCATAGCTGGGAGGGGGGAAAGAATTAGATTTATACCTTTCCCAAGGATATTTTATTGTAAGTGAATATAATGAACCCAACTGGAATCACAACTTGTCTCTCAGATTTTCAATTCTGAGCTTGGATAACATTACAACAACCACACATCCAAGCTTGCAGCACTTGGTATTCCCAAGCAGTCACCTAATTAGTTTCTGATCTGGCTTGACATTGCTTAACTTTGGTAATTGTACAAGAACCAAAATTTAGGCCAGAGATAGACTCGTGCTTTTCTCAAGAGAATTAGTGTGAAACTGAATGCAACAGACTAAGCCAGAATTTGAACTTTGCTTGCTGATTTTACTTTCTGCACCAATAACCATTACACTACCTGTACATAGTTTCCTAGGATTTTGTGTTGCTAACAACAAAAGGAGAGCATAGCAACCCGCACATTTTGTTGTTTGCAACACAATTTCAGCTAATCAATTGTCCAGTCTTCGTTAAGCGAATATAACATTGACTTGAAAGAAACAAATGTTGAGAATATTGATTAAAAAAATACTACATGAGAGAATTTTAAATATTTATTCTAGTCAAATCATCAATTTCAAGTATTTAGAAGGAGAAATGAAGCAATCATTTCTGTTTTATATGCTAACATGAGTAAAACAATTACTATTAACAATTAGTTAATAAATCAAGTAACAGAGAAGCTTGGCAATTATTTTGAGAATAACGAGCCGGTTTTATCACAACTATTATTCTGACTTCAGTCCTTCAAGGGTTCTCTAAACGCATGGCTTTTGGCAAGATCAAGTTGAGATAAATAAAATATTCTAGGGAAATTTAAGCAGGAAGTAGAAGATAATCTAATGAAATATTACTACTGTAGTGAGACCACTATTCTGTCTTTGTCCTATATAAGCTAAGTAAAAAAAATTGTGTGTGCATGCATATATATATATATATATATATATATATATATACAGATAGACATCCAGTTTTACTGACAGACAGCTCCAGTTTTGCTGCCAGTGTGGCTAGACATCTGATTACTTGAAGCTGGGAACGAAACTCAACTGATTTGACATCAGTCAGAGACTCTACTCCTAAGCTATCAGTGCATGGCAGAGAAAGAGAAATTTTTAACATATTATATACATAATGTATATAAACACTAGACCACCAGCCAAAGTGCTCAATTCTGGCAAAAGCTATGTGTTTTTTTATATATATATATATATATATATATATATATATATATATATGGTGAAAAAACATGTACACTTGCACGGACATATATATTTTTTTTACTCAGGTGTTATAAAAATAGTGCTCAATGTTATATAACAGAGCTATTAAGTATATATTACATGAATACACATAATATCCCACATTGATAGCATGACTCGGTTTCATTCAGTTACACAATCATTGGGTGCTGAATATGCACCGACTGTTAAGCGTTATGAAATTCGCATTCTCGTGGAGTTAAAATTGTGTCTTAAAACTTGTTTCTTATATTATTATTGTCTATAACATTTAAATTAATTATTAATAATTTACATCTATGAAAGTCTTAAGGTTGAAAGTATTGGATTACTACCACTCACAAAAGACAATGGTTAAACAGGAAAATAAAGGAAAAAATTCCCTTAAATAATATGTGAAAATAACCATTCTTTGCCTAATAACAGTCACATGACCTGAAACATGTAGCAAAATATATGGAAAATAAAGTATAATATATATTTTTAAAAAATTAAATAAATAAATCCACTTTATAGCCAAAAACATTTGCAGACTCTTTTCTCTTTAATATTATATATATATATATATATATATATATATATATATACACACACACACATATATATATATATATATATATATATATATATATAAGGAAATGGATTAAGTCTGACAATTATTTTATATATTTACTGTTTATAGGTTATTTTATAGATACAATTTATTTAAGTAAATGTTTTGTTTTGAATTAAACAGTATTAATTACATTTACTGACCTGAATGTTTGTTTGATGATGCTAAGGTTTCTGAATTAATAGGCCTATATATTTTACATAAAATCAACAAAATAGTACACACAGACAACCTCGGCCTGTATAGGGATGACGGACTGATGATCGTGCCAGACAGCAGAAGAATAAATGACAATATAAGAAAGATGCTCTTCAAAAGATAAGAAAGTTGTCCAATATTTAGATGTAAAATTAAATCTACAAACTGGCAGTACTTCCCCATACATTAAATCCAACACATAATTAAAATACATGAATGTTGCACACTATCACCATGTAGGTATAATAAAACACATCCCTAAAGGTATATAGTGCAGATTATCTAGAAATTCCTTCAGTAAAATAATTTCCGAACATAAAAAGAAAGAGTATGAAAAGACTTTAAAAGAAGTGGGGCATAAAACTAAACTGGAATTTAAATCTCAAATGAAGACTAATTCAAGGAAAAGAAAAAATATTATTTGGTTTAACCCCCTCTTTTAACTTAGAGGTCAAATGTAAAAAAGGGAAAATATTTTTTAAATTACTTAAGACTTTCCCCAAAATTCCGAATTACAAAAGATCTTTAATAAACACACATTTAAATTAAGCTACAGCTGCACTAGTAATTTAGAAACGACAATAAAAAGACAAAACACAAGGAATTTCAAAACTAATATGCAGCAAGGTATCATTAACAGTGAAACATGAAACTGTAGAAATAAAAGTAGATGTCCATGGAGTTTGCAAAATTGAAAGAGTAATTTATAAAGCAGAAGTAAAAGATACAAATGACCAGACCAAAATTTATATAGGATGTACTGAAGGCAGATTCAAGATGAGATGGTATAATTACAAGTCATCATTCAAAATAGAAAGACTCTACCAGACTGGCCAGACATGTATGGAAATACAAATAAAAAAATAACAAAGATCCGATTGCAAATTGGGAAAAACAAAAACAGCCAAACCTTGCAACAATCAGTGATATCTGCAATCTTTGCCAGGAAGAAAAGTTAGCAACAATAACATTTCCAGACCAAAACAACTTTCTGAATGAGAGATCAGAAATAATGACACAATGTATGAACACAAAAAAAAAAAAATCCCTCTCGAGTTCATTTGAACCAGAATAAAAACATGTACATTTCATATACCCCCTCCAATACGATTTCAATAGCCTTGCTTTGCTGCTCCCCTTCTATTACACTGCTCATTGTGAGTTTATTTATTTATTCTAAAATAAAACATTAGTAAATTATTTAGCCTGGATCGCCTGAAGATACCAAAAGGTTGAAACCAAGGTAGCATGATCAGCTGATCTAATTTTTTAAAATTCAAAAGCTTTACATGTTAAATTTTTATTTCATTTTATTTATACATGTATTGAGCATGTTTTAATACTACTGTTTCCTGGTCATGTCACTAGATATATATATATATATATATATATAAAACCTATATTGTGACATGATTTTCTTTATATTAAAAGTAATTAAATTGAATTTAATCAATCATTTGAGGTATGTATATTAAATATAAATCCCCACCCTAAAATTTAATAATTTATCTTTCATTTTTTCTTTCTATTGCTTCAAAATTGGATGATATTAAGAACTGATCACAGAATTAGGTCACACCAAAATGACCTTGACTACTTTCGAATTCGTTCAACAGTTCAATTTGATTTCATATGTGGCATTCAACAGCTGGATTTGATTTCATATGTAACATTCGATATTAGGTGCATCCCTGCATCTCTCATCAGAAGAATTGTAGCCGTTACACCAAGAAGACATGCAAATGTTTCTTTCTTTCTCTGTGAGTTGGCTCTCATGTAAAATTATCTTCCGATATTCCAGAGACGGAAATGGAAAAGCTTCCGGGATCATCAGGAACTCAAAAGCCAAGATAGATTGTATCCTCCATGAATGAAAAGCAAAGCATTTTCAGGATGATAATCAAACAAATAAACAACACTGATCACAAATAAGTAACAATGCATCTCTTTGCTTTTTATCATTTCTGTCTTGATCTCTGACGAAGCTTCCTATCCATACTTAATCACTCACTCAATCACTCTTTCTCTCTCTATATTATATATATATATATATATATATATATATATATATATATATGTTTTGAACAATAAAAAAAGTATTATAAAATTAAAATTTTCAGGCACACATATTAATATTTTTTTTTTGTTTTATTATTCCAATTATGTTGCTCAACTAGTTTCGGCCAGCATGGCCATCATAAGAAAAAAATTCCCATTTGTTAGTAGTTTCTGAAGAAAATGAACTTTATCTGTCATTTTCATTTGTTTTTTTTTATCGTTAATTTTAGTCAGTCCTTGTGTTAGTCAAATGGTCTCTTTTAAGTTGTTAGAGACTTGGGAGATTCATGCGACTTAGAATTCCCTTCTTGGTCATTTTGATAGTTTTATTGGTTGCTGAGAAGGGGACATGTGTTAAGTATATGCTATCTTTTAGTTCTATGGGAGTGTGTATGATGTGTGTAAGTGTATATATTAGTATGGGTTTGTGTATAAGTGTGAAACCTCAACACCTCAGCAAACATGCCTGTTTTGTGTGGGGAGAAATGTGGGTAGGGCTTGTGATATATATATATATATATACATACTGTGTGTGCAGGTAAGTACATTTAAATCTATACAAATAGAGGCAAGGATCAGCAAAATGAAAAACAAATCAAAAAGACAATTTTTTTTTTTTTTTTTTTAAGCCCACACACAGATGCACACTGTAACCTGCGACCCGAACTATGAACAACAGACAAGTATATCTAGAATGGAAAACACATTACCTGGATCTGTGGCTGATATGACTGCTCCAAAAAAGAAACAATCTGTCAGCTGGAAGATGTTACTAATTGCCATTAATCGGGTCAAGCCATACAGGATACCTCTGAAAACCAAACAATACAGCAATGACAAACATTGCAGCAAAAAATTACTTTTCCAACAAAACTAGAAGACTTTTACATAACTAGCATTATTATATATTTTGCAAATCATTAAAAGGAGATTGTTGAATATATCTATACACATATATAGGGAGATACCAATGACAGAATTCAAGTTAATGAATAAATTCAAATTAAACAAATTTTTTATTTACACTATTTACATTGTTCGGACTGTTGTCCTCATCTTTATTGTCCTATTCACATTTTGGCTGTTGTATGCTCTGGCCTTCTTCAGAAGATATACATTGGAATTTTGAACTCTTTATTTAGTCAACTGGGGCAAGCCATTCTAGTTCCACATGCCATGCCTTTTCTGGGTATCTCAGTTTCAGTTAATTCCCTTTAGTAACTTAATTCTCCAAGTTTTTTGTTCACCTCTGCTGTGGCCAGGTATTGCACTCACAACTCTTTTGGGTCAAGTCAATGGATTACTTGAACCAATGCCTTTATCCACTGGGCGATGTGTCCTTTTTTTAATTACTTCTGGGATGATTTGAAATTCTGTTTTTTGGTACATTTTCCCAAAACATCTTAATGCTGTGCAAAAATTGGCACTGAGCATTCTGGTAATATCCTAATAATATTCTTATATACTCCACAGTGCAAAAACATTTCTTTAGGAAATATTTATAGAGACAAAGATTTAAAGACTAAATATAGTCTCAATGATAAGAAAAATGGAGTTAGCATCTTACCCAACAACCATACTGGATATTGTTGTACCAGCAAAAGCATATGTCATGACAGCTCCAAGATTGCGGAAAAAATGTTTCTGAAAGGGAAAAAGAAGTTCATGTTCAAAACACTAGTGGCTACAAGGATTACGTGTTGTTTTAATGTGATCGATACAATAAGAATCTAAGCATATATATAATGGATATAAATGATACAGCTGAATTATATATGACCTTTGAAGCTTTAATGATGATTCAACTGATGCTGAAATAAAACTGTCCTTGTGGCAACAGTAAACAAGACACAAAACAGACAAGCAATATTCATGTCTCCACAACTTTGTCGGAGTGGGTCCACTTTATTGTAATGAAAAAAAAATTTAGTTTAATTTTTATGAAGAAGCTATATGTGCTTGACAATGTACTTTGCAATTTGTTAAATTTCCCAGAAATATTACAATTGATGCATTGTGATACTGAAAATAAGTTTTCTTTTTTAAACTAAATAATCCCCCAATATAAGGCCCAAGAGCCACTCAAGGTAGAGGGTTACTAAATGAAGTTGTTATATGAACATAAGAGGAGGTAAGAAGTGTAAATTTTGAGGATATGTAAGATAAATAATGGTTGACCCTAGACTTGAAGAGCTTAAAATTGTAATAAAGGGTTCAGTTCAAAATTCCAATCTCCTAAAGAAGACCGGAGCGTACAACGGCTGAAACGCTGTGAATAGTAATTTAGGAAATATCTACTTAGGATTCTGTTTCACAAAATATCAGTTCTTGGGAAGAAGCTGTCCAAATGCAACTTTTCTTATTAATGGTATTTATTCCAGTGTATATGGCAGAGCAAGTCTTAGCTGTGAAGGTCTGAACTGATGGAACTAATGAATGTGGCACATCTGAACATTTTCCATGGAAATCATGATAGAGTTACAAGAGGCTTGCAACTTTTTGTCTGTGGGTAAAGAGGTTGTAGAGCGGAAGTTATGAGCCACAAGAGGAAAAGTAGCATTAAATTTAGATATTTAAGGATACTAAAAGCCATAATCCGTATTTAGTATAGCTCCCACTGTCATGAACTGTAGTCTCAACAGTGAATGTGATAACTTGTACTCATAGTCTAGAGTACTTATGAAAGTGCATCATCACACACAGCTTCTGAGTGATAATTAAATAAATTGTGTTTTTGGTTGTTTTTTTTTTAGGTAGCCTAGTAATTTTTTATGGTCACCACATTAAATTACTTCTTAATTTCTCAAAGCAGCCATCCCCTATTTGCCAACTTCTCAAAAATCTCAAACTTCCAAAGATTTCTATTTTTTACTTAAAAAATTACCCAATAGAAGTTTCAAGAGCCCTTCAAGTTAGAGGGTTACCGAATGAAGTTATTGTTTGAACCTAAGACAGGGAAGTAAGTGAAGATTGTCAGGATATGTAGGATAGATAACAATTGATCGGAGATTTAAAGTTAAGATTGTAATGATCAGGAAAGTAACCTCTCATGAGGCTCTTGGTATGAAGCTGTCTCAATGGAATTCCTTCTTACCAATTGAATACAAAGAGAATTAGGATGATTTGATCCTGTATATATGGCGTAGACAGTCTTAGATATAAAAGTCTGAACTGGTGAAACTAATGAATCTAGAACATTTGATGAATGTCAGAACATTTGCCATGGAAATAGCAATAGAGTAACAAGAGGCTTAGTTTGTGACATAAATAATGTTTTTTTTTCTTTTTTTTTTTGGTAGGCTAGTAATTTTTTATAGTTACCACAGTATCATCATAAACTGATGCAATGGAATAACCTGTCACCCCCATGAGTGACAACACTATAGGTAGTAACTTCCTATAAGTATCTGTAAGTCAATGGACTACAGAGTCTAGCTGGGATCTGTTGAGTACGACTCAGACTTACGTGAAAACTACCGACCTTCCAATAGTAGCACTCACTACTGAATTGACTTGCGATGATCGTGTGCATAACTGTTACCTTATTTCTTATTGTACTGGTTTTTACAATAAACCTTTACTTATTTTATTCACTGTGTTTTTCAAGTATATGTTATATTCCATGCTAATAGGAATATAAACTTTATTTTACATCTTAATGCCTCTAAGCATCAGTCATCCGGAGATATTCTCCATGTTACAAAGCAAAAGATACTGAAATATATACAAGTTGAGAGTCAGTCATGTGCCATGTGTGATATATGCTTAGTCAATCATGTATCTTTTGATACATGACTGACGAGGCAGATCTTTTTCCTGCAGTAGGTTGCCATTTCTTTCTGCAGCAGATGCCATCCAAGGATATAGAACCTGGTCTGTCCTGCTATTTACCCATAGCTGGGGGGAGAAGAAGAGGGTTCATAACTTTCCCAAGGGTATTAGCATGTAAGTGAATGTAATGGATTCAACTGGAATTTGAACTCGGCTCTCTGTTCCTCAATCCGAGCCGCTATCCATTACTCCACCGTGAGAGTACTTGAGCAAAATAGAGAAAATCGTTAACTTTAGACAGTTTATCCATAATTTTGAACTTGATATACAACTTCTTATTCAAAATTAAAAAAAAAACACAAAAGAATTAAATACATTGACTGTAATTTTAACAAAACTTGTTTGAATGAATTCTTGCTAATCACTGTCATTTCTCCTCAAAAGGGAATTAATAAGATTCAAGAACTTGGTGAGGATGTCTGCTTAAAGATTCTGATGGCCCACAATGAAAAGAAAGGTTATAAATGTGTATCCAAGTAATTTCAAATGCCAGTTCTAACAGTTCAAAAACTTTCTAATTTAAATACCGTATTTGGCAGCCGATTGGATGCAGATTTTTTCCAAAGAAATGCACCAAAAAATTACCCTACATCCAATACAGCAGTATTATGTATAAGAGGAACATGAAGACTAGGAAAAAAAAAAAGTGGGGTTCACCAGAAATCAGTGCACGCATAGTGCTTAGTTCTGAAACTAGGACTGCTCAAAGTGAACGAACAGAATATCAATAAAGATATCCCTGAAAAATTCACCCAGAAAAAAGAAATTTAAAAAAAAAAAAAAACCTACCAGTAGCATAATTTGTGTTAATACTGTAAGTATTTCTAAAGGCTATAATTTTGATTTTTTTTTTGATTGTGATGAGTGCATCTCTTTTTTCCCTAAAACAGAAAACATCAATTGATGTTCATTAGAGATCAATTGAGGATTTTGATGCTTTCCAATGATACAGACGTCATTCATTCATGTGGTGTGTGTAAAATCTTAATTGGCAACTCTAGCATTCATGAGGTTATGACATTTTCTGGTAAATTTGCCTTCAAACAAAGCTGGAAGAACAAGCCAAAGACATTGCTATGTTTGCATGCATATTTCTCAAAGAGAGAAGAGGTGAAAATGGCTACAACTTAGTGCAAAGAATGTCCAACTCAATTGAGTATAGAATGCTCTATGGAGTATCATACTGTTATCCATTTTTTCTTTATTTTATAATCTAGAACTGTTAAAATCATTTTTATAGTTTTTGAATATAATTAAAAGTGCAAATGAGTATAAAAAGTACCCTTTAAAGAAATTAATTTTATCATTTTTTTACCTGTTTGTGTAATCTTTTTCTACACTTATCGCTGAGTGAAAATATTTTTAATAAATATTAATAACTTTTGTAAGGATATACTGAGTGTAACAGCAAAAGTGTCTAAATTGTGTGACAGCATGGAATAATTGTCTATCCCACAAAATGTTTAATATCAAATAAGAAAAAAAAAACTAAACTAATTGTATTCCTTTTTTTTCCAGATTTTCAGATAAGCCATTTAGTCATCTTGACACCATTTGTCATAAGAATCACTGAAAAATCCTTTAAGTTATTCAGCTAGAAAGAGAACAAGTCAAAATAATTTTGTGTCAGCTTCACTATGTCTTCACAAATGAGCAATGGCGAGAGGAAGAAGATCATTCAGGCCTTCAGTAACGGTATATACTCTAGCTTCTATCTTCAAAGTCCATTCAAGAATCCTCAAGAGAACAGTGAATAAGTATAAAAAGAGGGAACAGCTGAGAGAAAAAATTGGATCAACAAAACAACATTATTTCAACTTAGAGTTAAATACATTCTTATTGTTCAAAGTAGAGTCCAATAGTTTTATAAAAACTTGGAGAATTCCAGTAAGATATCATTAATCATTTCTAGGATACAACAGTTCAAAGCTTAATCTAACAACTAGACAATTTTGCTGATTCACACTTATTTTTCTTTAATTAATTTATTTCCGCATAAGAAGAGTGCTGAATTATTCTCAGCATGATCCACTTCTCAAAATCTGGTGAAATGAACAAACAGAATTTTAGGGAGGGCTTCTTGCTTGAGTAAATACTTTTCACCCCACCCCCCATATTAAAACTAACACTGGCAATAGATGCAACATTTAACTTTTTCCTTGTCAGCTATATACTTTTCCTGAACAGCAAATAGATTATTCCTATAGAAACTTGACAATGCACTAACTTTAAAATGATTTGAATTAATTCATATATAAATTAAAATGATAGGATTAGCTGTATGTATATTTACTTTAAATCAAAAAGTCGCTGAGTACAAATAAAAATATTTGAAATTGACAACTTTTCCATTTCAATCAAACAGATGTCAAACTCTTCTCTCTTCCCTTCTTTCATTTTTTTTCACTGAAGCCAAGTAGCATTTCTGATATGTCTTTTCCATGCAATCAAAATGGAATAGTCCATTATTTAGGAGATGTTAAACACTTCTATCTTCACTTATTTCACTGAAACCAAGTAGAATCTCTGATTTCTTTTTTCTTGATCAAGATGGAATATTATAAGATATTGGCAAGGTGTAACGGCCATGCTAAGAGAGGAATAAACAGAATTTAGAATAAAACAACACTTACCCCCCCAAGGATTTTGAATCCGAATGCCAGGAAAAGCCAACTAACCAATACTTCTGGTTCTGCTATTGCTGAGCATGTAATAAAGGGCAGGTATTGTGTGGTTGATTTTAGTGGTGACCGTTTTTGGATTTTATCTAGATCACACTCCTAATATCACTTCAAGGTTCTAAAGTCCTTGTA